TGTTTAGTTTGGATTAAAATCTAATTTTAATATAAGTCAAAGTCAAACAATTAATATTAACCACATTTTTCCTGGGTTCCACAACTTTTCAACCACACATTTCAAAATCTTATATCACAATCTGCTAAAAAACCTAATTTTAATCCCTATCAAATACCCTCTGAATTTTCATGTTCAATTGATCAGAGAAGCAATGAGAAGAGAAGTTAATAGAGCCGATGTTCTGAAGACTATAAATCTGCCATTACTGCGATGTAATTGGAGGAATTCGCTTTCCTCAAGCTCCTGTTCAGGTACAAAAGATTTAAGAGCTTCATTTTCATTTGAATTTCTCGTTATCTGACAGTTTTGTCATGGAATTTTGACAGTTCCCAGTATCAACTGCGTGTTTATGTTTTAAGAATTTCATGTGAGATTTGAGTATGATGTTTGAGTACGATGTCTGACTTTTAAGTCAAGTGATTTTATTTCTATTAAAAGGGTGATAATGGAGGTTTTTTGAATTTTTACTCCCTAGGCATAAAATCTTTACTCTCATTAAAGATGGTTTTTAGTTCTTAAATGTAGCAGGTAAATTTTAAAAATAAAAAAATAAAAAATATATTTATATATCTCTCTTTTGGTTATGGGATGAAGTTATTTGAAATTTACATTTTGAAATCAGAAAGTTACTTAAAAGAATTTAAAGGGAAGAAATATAAGTCGATCAATGATGAGGCTGAGCATCTTATCCATAACGTCAGCGTGGTGTTACTGTTTTTGGAATGTTTTTGAAACTCCTTTCAACAATACTATATTGCTATTGTTGCATACTTGCATTAATTCAAAATATTTTTTGTTACGTATTTGTGCTCCCAAGATGCCAATATCTAAAAAGGTCATATCATCAAACTGAATGGATCATAACTTCATAAAAGCACATACTAAACAAAAACAGCAGTTAAATTTCAAATTCAAGTTCTAAATCACTGACCTGCGGTATCAGCAATTTTCTGGGAATAAGCTCCTCATGACGACGAGCACAGAACTCCCAGGAGCATATCTGACAAAGTATTGAAGGAGCAATGCATAAATAGCAGCTCCGCAAATCAAAATAAACCAAAACAAAACAATTTGTTCATAAAGCAACCTTGAGATCTGGAGAGAATACTATTCGAAGTTGTCCATCACGAACAACACGAAGTTGCTCAAAAACGCTCTCCTGAATGGCTTTTGCATAGTCTAGAACAATCTGCCCAGAAGAATTCTGATACTCCCTAGGCATATCAATGTAGAGTAGTTCTTCCAACGTACCACTTTCATACTTTATTTTGAATAGTCTAGGGAGGACCTCAAAAGTTGCCTCTGACAGACATTAACAAACATTAGACAATGAAGTATTTTTTATTCATTTATCCAGTTTCTTATTTCTTTTCCTTTACCATTTTCAATGGTTTTTTTTTTTTTTTTGGG